AAAATTTATTACAAATGAAATTCTGGTTTGTATAAAAATATGAATAGAAGAAAAGCTTTCCAATGACTAGCCTCATCTTACACTATTGGTTTTCAAGCAGTATTCATTATTTTTAGCAAAAGAGAGTCCTACAAATAAAAACTGAGACTGTTATTGTTAGGTGCCACTGAGTAGATTATGACTCACAACAATCCTATGAACAATGGATGTGAACTTTCCCCTGTCCTATGCCATCCACATTATTTCTGATACACTTGAGCCCGCTCACTTACAGTCACTGTGACAATCCACCTCATTAAGGGTCTTCCTCTCTTTCACTGACCCTCCACCTTTTCAAGTATGATGCCCTTTTCCAACATGCCCCAAACATGTGAGACAAAGCTTCACCAACCTTGCCTCCAAGGAGCACCTTGGCTATACTTTTCTTCAAGATAAGTATATTTGTTCTTTTGGCAGTGCATGGGATGTTCAGTACTCTTCTCCAGCACCATAACGCAAAGATATCAAAATCTTCTGTCATCTTTATTTAGTGTCCAACTTCCAGATGCATAGGAAGTAAATGAAAAGACTACGGCTTGAATCAGATGCACCTTAATCTTTAAACTGATATTATTGTTCCATAACATTTTAGAGGGGTCCTTGGTAGCACATTTGACCAATGTTGTATGTAGCTCTTTTGATTTTATGACTGCTAGTGCCAAGGAATTGTAGATCCAAACAAGATGAAAATGCTATTTCAATTTTCTATCTATCATGATGTTGTGCACTAGCCCAATACTAAGAATTTTGTGTTCTTGATATTTAGATGTAATCCATACTGAATGCTATAGTCTCTGATTTTTCTTTTCACTTTAAGCAAGCAAGGCTGGGTCATCTGCATGTGGATAGGCCATTGATGAGTCTTTATCTAATCCTGATAACACTTCTCTTCATAACATCAAGCCTCCTGAATATTTTGCTCAGTATAAGAACTATGTATGGAGAGAAAAAAATACAACCCTGGTACACACTTTAATTGATTCTGAATCATGCAGTACTCCCTTGCTTGGTTTGGATAATTGTTTCTTGGTCTAAGTATAGGTCTCAGATGAGCACAATTAAGTAATCTGGATCCTCAGTCTTCTCTATGGTAGCCATAATTTATTATGATCCACACTGTCAAACACATTTGTATAGTCCTTCCTTTGAGTATTCTCTGCTTTCAACCAAGATCCATCTGACATTAACAATGATGTCTGCGGTGCCACAGCCTTTCCTAATTCAGCTTGAATTTCTGGCAGTTCTGTTTTGTACTGTTCTAGCCATTTCTGGTAACTGTTAGCAATTATTTTGCTTGCATTTAGTATTAATGATACTGTCTGAAATTTTCCACATTCTGGTGGATTACCTTTTTGGGAAGGGGAACAAATACAGATCTCCTTCAGTCAGTTGGCCAGGAAGCTGTCTTCCAAATTTACTGGTATTCATTACTGAGCACATCCAGAGTTGTATCTATTTATTGAAACATTTCAATTGGTATTCTACCAATTCATGGGGTTTTATATTTTGTCAGTGAAGCTTAAAAGTCTTAATTCACCACTATTAATTCCTCATCAAATGTTACTTTCTGAAATGCTCTGTATTAGCCAGATCTTTCTGGTACAGTGACTCAGTGCATTTCCTCCATCTTTTTTTGATGCTTCCTGGATCGCTCAAGATTTTGCCCATGTAATCTGTCAATACTGCAAGCTGAGGCTTGAATAAGCTTTTCAGTTCTTTCAGCTTGAGCAATGCCAAGTGAGTTCTTCCCTCTTAATTTTCTAATGCCAGTTCTTTGCCATTTTGTTAAAATAGTTTATATTATCACACTGTTGCCTGGAATCTTCTGCTGAATTCTTTTAGTTTGCCCTTTCCCCCTTTTGGTGTGGCTTGCCAATATTCTAGTGCAATCTTTAGTCTATTCAGACATCCGTTTTGGTCTTTTCTTTCTCTCCCATCTTTGTAACAAACTTTTTTCTCTATTTTAGGTTGACTTTAATGAAAGGTTTACAGAGACTTTGAATTTCCATTCATTCATTGTTGCACTTTTCTCCCTGACCCCCCGCCACCAACTCACTTTTCTTTTTGAAAAGTTAAAAAAAAAAACAAAAAAAACTTTCATTGCTATTCAATCCCTCTCCCCAAGTCAACTCCACTATGCTACTATCTTCATTCTGGACTCCTGTCATAACAATAATATCTAATCAATAACCTTTTGCTTTCCTCTTGGATGATATCCTTAATACCATCCCAAAGCTCATCTGGTCTTTGATCGTAAGTGTTCAGAGTCTCAAATCTATTCCTGAGATGGCTTTTTAATTCAGGTGCGATAAACTCAAGGTCATATTTTGGATCTTAAGGACTTATTCTGATCTCTTTCACCTTGAATTTGAACTTTCACATGAGTGACTGATGGTCTGTGCAGCAGTTAGAACCTGGTTGAGTGTCTTTAGTGAATTTTTTTTCTTCATTGATGTAATCAATCTGAATCTTGTGTAGTTTGTCAGGTGAGGCTGATGTGTGCAGTCACTGTGTATTTTCAAAGAAAGTATTGCAATGGATAAAAACAAAGATCTTCACGACTGGGCCAATAGGCGACATCATGATTGTTGTTGTTACGTGCTGTCGAGTCACCTGTGACTCATAGCAATCCTATGTACAACAGCCCTAAACCCTGCTCTATTCTGTGCCAATCTTACTGTTTCTGACTCACCGCCATTATCCCAGGGCCTCAATCAATACACCTAATTGAGGGTCTTCTTCTCATGTGCTGTCCCTCTACCTTCCAAAGCATGATGTCCCTCTCCAAGGACTGGTCTCACCTCGCAACATGTCCAAAGTATGTCAGATGAAGCTTCAGAATTCTTGCCTCCCAAGAGCAGTCTGGTTTAACCCTCTCCAGGATGAACCTTCTTGTTCTCTTAGCAGTTCATGCTACATTCAATACTCTTCTAAAATACCACAGCTAAAAGGCATCAATTCTCCTTCTATCATCCCTAGTCACTGTCCAGTTTTCTGATGCATAGCCAAGTAATTGCAAAGACTATGGTGTAGATCAGGTGCACTTTGGTCTCCGGATGGACATCGTTGGTCTTCAGTACTTTGGAGAAGTCTCTGACAACAGACTTTCCCAATGCAATTTGTCTTTTAATTTCCTGACTGCTGGTAGTGTTGATTGTAGAGCCAAGCAAACTGAAGTTGTCAACAATCTCAATCTCTTCACCATCTATCATGATGCTGCCAATTGGCCCAGTGGTTAGAATATTTGTTTTCTTGATATTGAGCTTCAATCCATGTTGAAGGCTGCCGTCCTTGACCTTCTGCAGCAATTGCTACAGGTCCTCCTCAGTTTCAGTAAGGAGGGTTGTGTCATCTGCATAACACAGAATGTTGATGAGTCTTCCTCCAATCCTAACACCACATTTCTCCACATAGAGCCCTGCCTTCTGGATAATCTGTTCTCCATATAGATTGAAAGGGTATGATGATAGGACACATACCTGCCATACACTCATAAATTTTGAACCATGCAGTGTTTCTTTGCACTGTTCTGATGACTGCCTCCTGGTCCAAGTATAGGCTTCGCATAAGCACAATCAAGTGTTCTGCAATTCCCATTCTTCTCAGATGTAAAACAGAATGAAGTTGTCCATGATTTCATCTGGTTTGTAACCACAATCAATATCTTTGGTACCACCAGTCAAGAAATCAGAAGACTAGAAAAGTCTGCTGTCAGGGACCTCTCCAAAGTATTAAAAATTAATGATGTCAGGTCAAAGACTGAAGTTTGCCTAATTCAAGTCATAGTTTTTTCAATCACCAGCTTTGCATTTGAGAGCTAGACAACGAATCCTTACTCACTGACAGAAAACCAATTCCTTTGAGCTGTTTTGGGAGAAGAATGCTAAGTGGACTGCCAAAAGAACACGCAAACGTTTTGGAAAAAGTGTATCCAGAGTGCTCCTTAGAAGCAAGGATAATGAAGTTTTGTCTCATATATTGGGCAGGTTTTAGAAGAGGCTATTCTATAGATAAGGTCATCACAGTGTAAAAGTGAAGGGTCAATGAAAGAGATGAAGACTCTTCATCAATTGAACTGATAGTAATGTGATAGCCAAGTATATCAGAGATACTAAGAAAGGCACAGGATAGGAAAGGGTTCTGATCACAGTCACTATGAGTTGTCCTCAACTTGATGACACTTAACAGTAAGTCTTCTAATATTATGTATTTACTTTCTCTTAAAGTGTGTGTATCAGATTCAAACTAAGAGAACAAATCTGCTTTTAAAAGTTATTTTTAAAAAGTTATACAAAATGTATTTAAAAACAAGATGACTAAAAACCTAAAACAAACAATAAATTAAAAAAAATTAAGTATAATAATTTCTGTTGAAGTGAAGGTTAACAAAGCTAAGTTTTTTTAATGAAAGGCATAAAATAAGTATAAATAAACTGTGTACCTAACATAGATTCTGCATACATGTAAGTATTCAATAAAATATTCCTGTGAAAACCACTTATGAAAGTATTTATTGGTCAATTTTTTTCCCCCACATATAACAATAGTTCCACATATATTGGTTACACTATATATAAAAACATTTATTGTCATTATATTTTTTCCCAAGGATAAAGCCAAAGAAGTGAGTTTGGTTTTTACCTCTGAGTAGAAATGGCCAGGAGGGATTAGTTCTTGGAAAAGGACATCATGTTTGGAAGGGTGGAAGGACAGTGCAGGAAAGGCGAGGAGTTGGATTGACACAGTTACTAGGGTAATGGGATTAGGTGTACTGGAGTCAGTATGACTGGATCAAGGTAGGTCAGGGTTCAGAGCTATTATAATTAGGATCGCTTTGAGTTAAAGGTGACTCAATGGCACATAACAACAACAAAAACAGATTATTTATTATAAATGAGGTTTCACTTTTGTGTGAGAAGGAGCACGAAGAAAAGTGTGCCTGGCCAGATTTTTGGAGATACAATCAGTTTAACATCAAAGAGTTTGGCGATTTCACTCTAAACAGTTAGAAAAGTTTACAATAGAAAATGTATATAAAACTGATAAAAATACTTACAGAGGTTCATTTAATTCAAATTTTATTGGGGAAGGAGGTCTCTTTGGTGATTGCCAAAACAAACCTAACAAAAAGATACAAATAATTTTATTGTCTTAAATGACATTAAAATTGTGATTTAAACGAATGTTTACGAAAAGTTAGATTTTCATTCATTAACAATTGCACATTTTACCCCCCCTCCCTTCCCCCGCCCCAGTTCACTTTTTAAAAATATTCATTCACTGTTGCAATTACCTACCTCCCCTCAGTTCACTTTTTTAAAAATATTCATTCATTGTTGCACAGTTACCTACCTCCCTTCCCTAGTTCTCTTTGCAATGCATTATATTAGCTAGTAATACACTGGATACCTTTTTCCTCAATACTTGATTATACTCACTGCCATCTTTTAATCGCGTATCCAGAGGGAAACAGTGAAGCAGCTGAAGAGCCTAGAGGGAAAGATTAACTTTAAAAAAAATCATTACCGCTATTACTTTTGTTATTTGTCATCGAGTCAGAACAGAGCAACAGCTTACCCTCCAGGGGTTTTAAGAGGCAGGTAATAACACAGAAGGAGACTGTCCATCTTTCTCCCATGGAGCATCTGTTGCTCTACTATATTACAGTAGGTAAATATTTTAAAAAGATGTTTTATTTAAATTTAATATCTTATGTAGCTAACATACGCACATAGTTCAACAGCCAAAATGCATAAAAAAGTATTAAGTCTTCCAGCCAACCATGCATTCCATATGTACATCCTGTCACTGACCTCAGACTTGAGAGTAAAAAAACCAAAAAACAACAACCAAACAACCAAGCAAAACCAAAACTCCAAATCTACGTTTTCAAGTTGGTCCTGGCTTATAACAAACCTCATTTTTTTAATGGAAAGCAACTGCCCATCTTTCTCTCACAGAAGGTGGTAAAGTCAAACTGCTGACCTCTTGGATCAAGCCAATATAGATCTTAAAACAAGACTGTATTGGTAAGCATGGTATGAGATCAAGAACTGCATTTAGCTTTTGTCTTTTCTTCTGTAAAAATAGAACCTGAAATTCCCCACAAAGTGAAGTGTCCTTGTTGTCTAAAATAATCAAGCAACCCTTCAAAGTGTGCCAGTAGGTGGGAGTCACACTTTGGACCTATCCTTAAGAAGGCTGTTGTACCTGTTGTAGAAGACAGAAGATGAGCTGAATGAGTTGACTTCAACTCCTTGTGCAAACCGAACGAAACCCTGCTTAATTTTGTGCCATCCTCACAATCAAGAAAACAAAGATTCTTACCACTAGACTGACAGATAGACACGATAGATGGAGAAAAGACTGAAACAACTTCATCTTATCCACAACTAACATCTTTGAGCTGGACAATGAATAAAGATGACAGAAGAATAACTGATGCTTATGAGTTGTGGTGTTGGAAAAGAGTACTCAACATCCTATGGACTGCCAAAAGAACAAACAAATATGTCTTGGAGAGGGTGTAGTTAGAGTGCTCTTTGGAGGCAAAGGTTATGAGGTTTTGTCTCACATACTTCAGGAATATTGCTAAAAGGGGTTACTCCTTGGAGAGGGACATGATGCTCAGAATGGCAGAGAGTTGGCAAAGGAGAGGAAGACCCTTGACCAGGTGGACCGACAGAATGACTGCCTCAATGGGCTCTAATGTTTCAGGAATTATTAAGATCGCACAGGGTAAGATAAGTTTCAGATCTGTTGTTCACAGGGTTGCTATGGGTTGTATTCGACTCAATGGCACCTAACAACAATAAGATCATAACAATATCCTCACAATTCCTACTGTACTTAAAGCTACTCAAACTTGTTGTAGTTACCATCAATCAATCTCATTTTCACTTTCGTGGCCTAGTGATAAGGAACTGTGATTTTAACCCAAAGGCAGGCAGTTCAAATTCACCAGCTGCTCTGTAGGCAAAAGATGGGCAATCTCTTCTTGTGTAAATTACAGCCTCTGAAAACATGAGTCAGTTCCATCCCAAAAGCATATAACAACATTTTCCAATCATTATGTCCCCTTCTAAGGATTAGCCCTTCCTGGTAACATGCCGTAAATACTTGAGATCAAATCTTGCTTATAAGGAAGTACCTTGCCTGCACATACAAGACAGATTTGTTTCTTCTTTTGCCAGTCCATTCTATATTCAATACTCTTCTTAACACAATTCAAAGGCATCAATTCTTATTTGGTCTTCCTTATTCACTTATTACATGCATATGAAGCAATTAAAATGACACTGGGTAGGTGTGTGTTAGTGCTTCATTGGACATCTTTGTTCTTCAGCACTACAAAGAAGTTGCTGACAGGAAACATGGCCAATGTAGAATGTCTTTGGATTTGTTTACTGCTACCTGAGTGTTAATTGTGGATCTAAGTAAAATAAAATCACTGACAACTTCAGTCTTTTCTCCATCTGTCATGATATTGTGTATTAGTCCACTTGCGAGGATTTGTTTTCTTGATGTTTCGGTGTAATCCATATTGAACACTGTACTCTGATCCTCTCCAGTAAATGCTGCATGGCTTCTTCACTTTCTGAAAGCAAGATTGTGTCATCTGCATAACACAGGTTGCTGATGAGTCTTTCTCTACTACTGATGGAAAATTATTTTTCATATTGTCCAACTTCTCAGATTATTTGCTCAGCATATCAATGAATGTTGCTGCGTTTGTCAGGCGTTCTCAAGTTAACTCTAACTTACAGTGACTTCATGTATAAAAATGTAGTATCAATGTACTGCTCCTATACTATAATCTCTTAAGATTCTTGCTTCTATTCTAAGCAAACTTCTTTTAAGATTACAAATGAAATGCATTATTTATGTTCTAGAAGGAATATGTATCTAAATTTCAACAATACATAAAGAAGGACAATAATCAGTTTAATATTAAAAATCAAACCAGTTGTGCATCTTATACTCCTTGTCATCTAATTTATTAATTCCTGAAAACCTATTTGCTTACCTTATGGTTAAAGTATTTTTCAAACTTTAATCTTGCTAATTCTACACATTGGGACCAATTTCGAGGTCTTCTGCTAAGTAACTTAATAGCTTGAAAACAGCCTTCTAAACTGTGTCCAGTTTGTATCTTCTAAGATGGAAAAGAAAAACACATTTTCAGTTAAATATGCCCCCAAAAATCATTAGCCTTTACCTGAAGTGTAAGCTAATGTGTTTTAAAATTTAAAAACTTTTTGTTTGAAGATCAAGATTCCTGATATCATTTACATTTTTTAAAAAATATACATTTTATTGTTAAGAATATGTGTAACCACTGCAATCCCAGAGGTATGCGGTTTGAATCCACTAGATAGATGCTCTGCTGGAGAAGGAGGGGCAATCTCCTCCTGTACTGTCAGATTCAATTTGATGGTACACCCACAAAATTAAAAAAAAAAAAAATGTATGTAACAAAATAAACACTATTTTTTATATATCCAATTCATTGATATTCCTTCATTTCTCCCCCATTAGCATACATTCACTGCTTCTTAATATGTCTATCTAATCTGTTCAGTTACTGTTGTCACTTTGATCTCATATAATTTTTTTAAATGCTTTTTCATCTCCCCCCCAAACTCAGTTTAGTGAACGTTTACAAAGAGACCGGTTTCATTCTTTCATGCACACTTTCTTCACTTCCTCTCCTCCAATTCCTCTTGTAAGGATATATTAATTGTCATACAAGTGGTTTCTATTCATCCATTCCTTTCACCCATTCCAGGGCAGTATTCATTCTCTCTCCATTCTTTTACTGCTATCTCCCCAATCCTGTTTAAATCCTATTATTACAATAGGGGGCTTATGCAGTTTTTGTACCGTTGTGAGAGAGACGTGACTAAGCATATTGTCTTTCAGATTCATCTATGTTGTTTTATGAGTTCACTATCTTAAATTCGATGTAGTATTCCACTGTACTACAGTTTTTAAAGTAAAATAATGCTGAAGGCAGACATTTTTAACTTATTAACCTATAGTTTGGTCTTAAGGCTTCTGGGAATATTTTTGGTTTTAATTTTCAATGTTTCTCCCAGAGCAATAGTCAAGAGTTCATTTAATTCTTATGGCTGCAGGAAATGTGGAATATATGAAGATTTGAAATTCTGTTCTGCATTTTATCCTTTTTGGGTCAAGATTCTTCTACTTAACATTTGATAAAATGTTCTGTAATAATAGCTAGGTACCAAGCAGTCTTTCTAGTCTCCTGGCAAAGGCAGCTCTGGTGGACAAGTGCTAAGAAACTGAATTGTAATCCCAGAAGCATGCTGTTCAAATCTACCTAAATGCTCCACAAGAGAAGGATGGCTAATCTCCTCCGGTACGATTTACTACCTCTGAAAACCCTCTAGAGGTTCAGTTATGGGTTAGTTCTGACTTGATGACAAACAACATGGCAAAGAGGCAGTTGTTTATGGAAGCAATTAGCCGTATATTTCATAATCTCCTATTCCTGACTCTCCTTACTTACTGCTCTGAATAAACAGAGAAGAAATGCTTTACTATGGATGGCTACATGCATGCTTTTAAGACCCAAGATACTATGCATCAAACTAGGAAGAAAAAAGACAGCATGAAACAATTAGGCTAACTCCCTGGGATATCCTATGAAACCATGACTCTACATCTGCAAACTACAGAATCAAGTGCCAAGAGACTTTTTGTTGTACATACTCAGCCTTAGTAGTCTCATATATCATATATTATGTTCAATATTGTTATACAGTCTCTTTAACAAGGAAAAAGAAACTATTCATCTGTAATTTAAAGAGGCTTGATGTGGAAGTAGTTTTTGATCAGCTCCCAAGCTAAAGGTTGAAAGTTCTAATGCCAATCAAGCAGTGTACTGATATCAGGAACTGCTTTTTAGGTAAAAAGTATGGCCAAGAAAACCCTAATGAGCAGCTCTACTCTGCAACATGAGTCTGGAGTTGACTTGACGACAGCTAGTAACAGAATCAGGCAATTTCAAAGTAAGACTACATTGAACCAAGTTTTAGTTTATAGTAACATGTTTTCATGTTTACCTGTAAGACTTCTTCTGCAGAATGATAGCTTTGCCAAAATTTGTTGAACAATGAAGGTTTGTGGGAAAAGGAACTTTCAAACTGAAAGAGAGGTGGGAGTAAGACAGGTTAAAAATAATTTGTTTAAAAGGTAGATTTTTCTTTCCTACTTTAAAGGGAACAAATGCCTGGTAAAAAAACTTTTACCTTATCTCTGGCCCACTGTATAGTATGTTCAATAGCAGCTGGAAAGGACTTTAGAGTACAAAATGGTATTTCCTCTTCAGGAGGATCTCGCTAATTTATTAAATAGAAGAAAATAAAGTTAAAAGAAGCAATGAAAATTTATTCCAATTTTGCACGACAGACTTTTTTTTTGGTGTTCTAAAGCAACTAAAAAAAAATAATATTCAAAGGTGGATCTGCCTGTTTTCTTTTCCTAACCAATAAGAAGAGGAAAAAAGGAATTCTTTCAATACTTTAAACCATTTAGTAACAATGCAGCAATAAGGACAGTTCTGTTCTAATTTATTACCTACACACTTATTTAGCATTGCTTATGGAAGATAATTATGCACACACACACACAAAGTCTTTTTTATTTAAGAATCAAAAGGATATAGAAATTTTAAAATATTCTCTACTTTGAAGCGTAGTTTAAGAATTGAATATCATGCTTAACATATTATTAAATTCTTCCTGCAGAAAAAATTCTGGAAGCAAGGGTTCTGTATCCTCAATGTTTGCTAGTTTCTTGCAAAATGTGTGTAATGGCAAATGCCTACTATGCTGTCTCATCTGGAAGAAGTACGATTGAAGAAACTGAAATTCTATTATAGGATATGATTAGTTTAGTCTTAGTGATTTACTCAATATAAAATGTCTATTTAAAGCCATGAGGGCTCCCTATTTTGTTATTTTTTTTTTAGAAATCTAAAATGATGTCACTTTTCACTTAGAAATGTATTTTTGTAAGTAACACTAAATATTTTATATGTCTAAAGAGATCAGTCAGAAAAGAACTAATTTCTGGATTTTATAAAATATAGGAGGTTCAGGTAAGATGTAGTAGAATTAAAGGAACCAAGGAAATCATTTCAATGTTACAACATTCCCTATTGGGAGAATTTTTAATATGAAGCCTTAAATTAGAGATCATGATTTTCTTCTTTATCTAAGCTCCTTCAAGGTCAACTTGTCACTTTAGTTTTTAATAGCTTTCACTAGACACAGATCCTTCTTGATCATATATTCTAAAATTTTTTTTAAAGTGTACTGGATCACACCCATGAAATAAAACAATAATAATGCTTATCAAGGATTTAATTTTATCTAGATTCACAATAAATGCCCACAGAAACATCAGTCAAGAAATCAAAAGTCATACTGCCCTGGGAAAAACTGTTGCAAAGAATTACTGTAAAGTGAAATGTTACTCTATCAAGATTTTACTCTAGGAGATATTACTCTAAAGATGTTAGGATGAAGATATGCCTGACCCAAGCCACAGTAGTTGAAGTCTCCTCAGATGCCTGTGAAAGTTGGACTAATTTAATAAGGAAGACTGAAAAAGAATTGATACTTTTCTGCATTGTAAGATGTCTAACGTAGCTAGACCATGTCTTAAAAACAAGGATAATGAGACTGTCTCACATACTTTGGTATGTCATCAGAAAAGGCTAGTACATGGAGAAAGACATCATGTTTAGCAAAGTAGGTCAGTGAAAAACAGGCAGACTTTTAAGGAGACAGACTAAGACACTGAGCACAATAGTGGGCTTAAGTAATGCAGAGATAATGAAGAGACTGTAAGATCGGTAGTACTTTGTTTTTTTATACACTGGGCGTGTGAATCGGAGCAGACATGACGGTACCTAAGAACAATGCTTGTGAAAAAACATTCTTACTAAATTTTACAAACTGTATTGATTTTTTTAGGAGCCCTGCTATATACTGGTTAAGTGCTTGGCTGTTAACAGGTTAGTGGTCTGACTCTACTAGCTGCTACATAGGAGCAAGAGTGGCAATCTATTTTTTTTTTAACCGGTAAGGTTGTTATGAGTAAGAATAAACTTGTTTCTAGTGAATTGAGTTGATTTTTAAAAAATCTTAAAAGACGTGAAGACTTTTAAAAATTCTTAAGAGATGCTATGGCAAAATCTTGAATGATTTAGGAACTATCAAAAGAAAATAGAAGGAATGCAAAGAATCATTGTACCAAAAAGAACTGGCTGACATTGAAATATTTCTGGAAGTACAATATGTTCACAAACAAATGGTAATGAAGGACGTTCAAATTGCAATGAATGCACTTAAAAAAAAGAAATAAGGGCCCAGGAATTAAAGAGGTACCAAATGACACATTTCAGATGACAGATGCACCTCTGGGTGTGCTCACCAGTCTATTCCAGAAAATTTGGAAGACAGCTGTTTGGATGACTGACTGAAAGAGATCCATATTTGTTCTTATTCCCAAGAAAGGTGACCCAAAAGAATCTGGAAATTATTGAACAGTAATCATTAATAATGATTCAAGCTGCTTTGAAGGAAGTAGCAAAAAATAAGGCCCCAGGAATAGATGGTATACCAATTGAAGTATTTCAGATAACAGATGCCCTGGATGTGCTCACCAAGTTGTGCCAAGAAATCTGGAGAACAACCACTTGGCCAACTGACTGGAAGAGATCTGTATTTGTTCCCATTCCAAAGAAAGGTGACCCAACTGAGTGTGGAAAGTACAGAACAGTGTCACTGATTTCACATGCAAGCAAGATTCTACTGAAGATCATCCAAAAACGATTAGAACAGCACATCAGCAAAGAACTGCCGGAAGTCCAGGCTGGGTTTAGAAGGGGTCGTGGTACTAGGGATATTGTTGCTGATGTTAGATGGATCTTGGCTGAAAGCAGGGAATACCAGAAGAATGTCTATCTGTGTTTCATTGATTATGCAAAGGCATTTGACTGTGTGGATCATAACAAACTGTGGTTGACTCTGAGAAGAATGGGAATCCCAGAACATTTAATTGTGCTAATGCGAAACCTGTACGTGGGCAGTAGTAGTCAGAACAGAGCAGGGTAACACTGCATGGTTCAAAATAGGAAAGGGTGTACGCCAGGGATGCATCTTGTCTCCATAACTTTTCAACATGTATGCAGAGCAGATTATCCGAGAAGCTGGGCTCTATGAGGAGAATTGTGGCATCAGGATTGGTGGAAGATCTATTAACAATCTGCATTATGCAGATGACACAACCCTGCTTGCTTAAACTGAGGAGGACCTCATGCACTTGCTGCGAAGGGTCAAGGACTGCAGCCTTCAGTATGGACTGAGGCTCAATGTCAAGAAGACAAAGATTCTCGCCACTGGACCAATTGGCAGCGTCAGGATGGATGACGAAGAGACTGAGAGTGTTCACAGCTTCAGTTTGCTCGGCTCCACAGTCAACGCTCTTGGCACCAGCAGTCAGGAAATAAAAATGTGTATCACGATGGGAAAGTCTGCTGTTAGGGACCTCTCAAAGGTACTCAGGAGCAACAGTGTCTCTCTGGAGACTAAGGTGCGCCTGATACAGGCCATGGTCTTTGCAATCGCTTGTTATGCCTCAGAGAGTTGGACAATGACTAGGGAGGACAGAAGGAGAGTGGATGCTTTTGAGCTGTGGTGCTGGAGAAGGGTACTGAATGTACCATGGACTGCCAGGAAAACAAACAGATTCATCTTGGAGAGGATTAAACCAAGCTGCTCCTTGGAGGCAAGGATTCTGGGGCTTCGTCTGACATACTTTGGACATGCTGCCAGGAGGGACGGGTCCTTGGAGAGGGACATCATGCTTGGGAGGGTGGAGGGACGGCGCAGGAGGGGAAGACCCTCTATGAGATGGATCGATTCAGTGACTGGGGTAATCGGGATGGGTGTGTCAGAGGCAGTGCGGATGGCGCAGGATAGAGCAGCGTTTAGGGCTGCTGTGCATAGGGTCGCTATGAGTCAGAAACGACTCGATGGCACATAACAACAACAACAACAACAACAATCATTAATATCACATGTAAGTAAAATACTGCTGAGGATCATTTAAAAAATGGCCCAGAATAGTACATAGACAGAGAACCACCAGATGTTTAAGCTGTATTGAGAGGAGGGCGTAGCACCAGGGATATCACTGCCTATGTCCAACAACTGTGGCTCAAAGCAACGAATATCAAAAGAATGTCTATTTGTGCTCTATTGACTATGCAAAAGCATTTGTGTGGATCATAACAAACTGTGGATAACACGGAAAAGAATGGGAACCCTAAAATGTTTAATTGTGCTATGTGAAATCTATACCTAGACGAAGAGGTTGTGTGTGAAAAGAGCAAGGGAACACTACAAGGTTTTAAAATTAAGAAAGTTGTGTTTGTACTCTTTCTCCCTACCTATTTAATTTGTACGCTATGCAAATTATTTAAGAATCTGGACTCTTTGAAGAAGACTGCGGTATCAGTATAGGAGGGAAACATCAACAACATTCTTAGGCAGATAACACAACCTTTCTTGCTGAAAGTTAAGGAAAACTTAAAACACTTGCTGGAGAAGATAAAACACTGCAGCCTTCAATATGGACTGCATCTAAACATCAAGAAAACAAAAATCATCACAACTTTATGTTATTTGGATTCTTGGATCCACCATCAGAACAACTGGATACAGCAGTCAAGAGATTAAGAGACACATTGTACTGGGAAAGTTTGCAGTTAGGGACCTCTCCAAATTATTGCGAATCAGTGATGTCAGTTTGAAGACAAAGGTGTGCCTAAATCAGGCCATGGTCTTATCAGTCACTTGCTATACTGCTGAGAGCTGGATAATGACTAAGGATGACAGAAGAAGAATTGATGCCTTTGGACTGTGGCGTTGGAGAAGAGTGCTGAACATTCCATGGACTTCCATAAGAATACACAGGTATGAATAGACAGAATCAACAACCTTGGAGATAGTGTAGCCAGAGTGCTCTTTGGAGGCAAAGACGATAAAGGTTTGTCTCACATACTTTGGGCATGTTGCTAAGAGAGACTATTCCTTGGATTGAGAGACCATGGAAAAGTGGAGGGGCTGTGGAGGAAAACATGAGTTTCCACCAGGTGGACTGACATATAACTACTGTAATAGGCAGTAAAATGTGTCAGAGATTTTTAGGATGTCACATCTGTTGTTCACAGGGTCACTGTAAGTTGTATTCGACTCAACGGCTCCTAACAATAAAAACAAAGCCTACACCTTTGGTTTCAACTTCGGTAATATCTGAAATCAGAGAAGGAAAAAAGCTATTTATATTAAGTGTATGTAAATGTTCTTACTGCTGTTAGGTGCTATTGAGTTGACTCTGACAACGTTATCCTAAGCACAAACCGACAAAACACTACCAGATTCTGTACTATTCTTATAATCTTTACTGTGCATAAACTTTGTCACAGTTGTCAATCCATCTTGTTGAGGCTATCATATTTTTCTTTAGTGATATTTTTGAAATATCACAAATGCTTCTTTAGTAATACTTTTTAAATGGTTCACTTTAAGTTTCACAGTTATTTCTAATATGCATGGTAGGGGTAAAAATTATTAACCTAAAAAAATGTGGTATTATGGACTTGTGCATATGAGATGTAAAGTCTGATCTTTTTATATGTTAGGTTATATCTATTATCAGTAAGCTCGTTAGGTTATATCTATTATCAGTAAGCTCAATTAGTAAATTAGATAAAATTCTTTTTTGGTTGACATTTTTATTGTAATCTAACATTAGCATTATTATAAAAAAATCTTATTAAGCTTTAGGCTGCTGAAAAAGGAAACCAAGCTGCTTTGAATAGTATATAGTCAACAGAAGCAAATCTATAGAACCAACAAAATAAAAAAATTGTTGACTGAAAAAATAACTTCAGTTATAAATGCAAGTGCAAATAAGTGTGTAGATCACTGGCACACAGTAAAACCGAAGGATTAGGAAGACTAAATCAAATATGCTAATTAATGAAAATACAATATAAGCTATAAAAAATACATAATTTCCCAATACTAGTTTACTCACATGACTATTATAAGATTCAGTCAAATGAGGAACAATAACTTCAGTATGTCCCTTTGTGCCCATTGTTCCAGAATCTAAGAGAGGTCGCAGATTTGCTAAGCAACGGCTATTTGAAAAGAGAAATAGGTAATACACATCAAAGTCAGCAATAAGGAAAATAGATAACTTCCTGTCATTTTGTATTGATCATTTAACAGAAAATTCTTGATGGTAAAACGTTGATAGGTCCATTGACTCTTAACTTTATTGCCCTTTCTTCATTTCTTGCTTTCTACATCTTTATTTTATGACTACAATTTTCCTACTCAACAGTAACCTCAATATTTTCCTTATAGCAAACTATTAACCCTTTTCCTAAGTACTAACATATTTTATGTACTCAAATTTCTTTATATTTACTCTCCATGTTGCTCCTTCCCCACCTCATCTTCTGCCTGATTCTAAACTTTCCATTCTACTTCTCAACTTCCTCTTACATGTACATATTCCAGAACCCTAATGTTAAAAGTCAAACGCAGACTTAAAATTATATAAGGAATACATAATAATAGTCATTTCACTTTATACTCATTTAATAATAGGTGTTGCACACTAAATGTTCTGTTATAAGAAAATAAGTGGTCCCTTTTCAAAATTAATGCTGCTGAGTCGGAATCGATACACAGCTGATCTTCCATAAGGGTTATGAAGCATCTTTCTCCCTTGTGACTGTTGATGGTGAAACCTTTGGATCACAGCTCGATTGTGTTAAAGCTTGCTCAATAAAGGTAAGAAGTACTTAAGTAGAAAACTGTGAAAAATCAACACAGGAGCATTTAATTTAGGTTTAGATGTTAAAAATCTGAAGAAAGCTACTAGGTTAGAACTGAAAGAAGGAGGGAAAAAAAAACGAAACTACTTTAAAAGTAGAGAGACTGGGGCCAGCGGTTTTGGAACAAGAGAAACACAATTTCTTAAGGATTAGTGTGAGCAAATCTCAGAACAAATGAAGTACTAAATGCCTTGTAGGAATCTGTAAGAGGTGATACTAGAAGAAGAAACAGAGAAACTGGTAAATTTTAAGCTAGAATGCTGGATTGGTTTTGCTCGATAAAAAAGTTTAAAGTTATAAATACATTTTGGTCTTTATCTCAAGTATATAAGGAAAGACCTAGGAAGAGTGCAAACGGTCATTGCAAAGACAGAAGAAGAAGCGAAGACCAAAAGGGATGTCAGAACAGACTCTGAAAATTGCACTGGAGCACAGGGAAGCCAAAGCACAAGGAAGAATTCAAGATACTAAAGAGTTAAATAGAAGATTTCAAAAAGCAGCATGGGATGACAAAGCAAATATTACAATGAAATGTGCAAGGAGTTGGAGTCAGAAAATCAAAAGGGCCGAACTCGCTCAGCATTTCTTAAGCTCAAGGAACTGAAGAACAAATTCAAACCTCGAGTTGCTATCATCAAGGATGCTTTCGGCACAATGTTTAATGATCCAGGAAGTATTAAAAGAAGATGGAAAGAATATACTGAGTCACTGTATCGAAAGGAATTGGCAGACACAGAAGAATTTCATGAAACAACATATGAGCAAGAGCCTATGGTGATGAAAGAAGAAGTTCAGGCTGCTTTGAAGGAAATGGCAAAAAATAAGGCTCCAGGAATAGATGGTATACCAATTGACATATTTCAGTTAACAGATGCTGCCCTGGACGTGCTCACCAAGTTGTGCCAAGAAATCTGGAGAACAACCACTTGGCCAACTGACTGGAAGAGATCTATATCTGTTCCTATCCCAAAGAAAGGTGACCCAACAGAGTGTGGAAACTACAGAACAATCTCACTGATTTCACATGCAAGCAAGATTTTATTATCCAAAAACGACTGGAACAGCACATCAGCAGAGAACTACCAGAAGTCCAGGCTGAGTTTAGAAGGGGTCGTGGTACTAGGGATATTGCAGCTGATGTTAGATGGATCTTAGTTGAAAGCAGGGAATACCAGAGGAAAGTCTATCTGTGTTTCATTGACTATGCAAAGGCATTTGACTGTGTGGATCATAACAAACTGTGGCTGACTCTGAGAAAAATGGGAATCCTGGAACACTTGATGGTGCTAATGGGAAACCTATACTTGGACCAGGAGGCAGTCGTCAGAACAGAGCAAGGGAACACTGCATGGTTCAAAATTGGGAAGGGCGTGAGCCAGGGATGCATCCTATCTCCATACCTTTTCAACACATATGCAAAACAGATTATCCGGGAGGCTGGGCTCTGAGGAGAAATGTGGGGTCAAGATTGGTGGACGATTTATCAATAATCTGCGTTATGCAGATGACACAACCCTGCTTGCTGAAGCTGAAGAGGAACTGAAGCACCTGCTGCAGAGGGTCAAGGACTGCAGCCTACAATATGGGTTGAGGCTCAATGTCAAGACGACAAAAATTCTCATCACTGGACCAATTGGTAGCATCAAGATGGATGGTGAAGAGATTGAGATTGTACACAGCTTTAGTTTGCTTGGATCCATAGTCAACACTCTTGGCACCAGTAGCCAGGAGATTAAAAGGTGCATTGCCATGGGAAAGTCTGCTGTTAGGGTCCTCTCCAAAGTACTGAAGAGCAATGGTGTCTCTCTGGAGACTAAGGTGCGTTTGATCCAGGCCATGGTCTTCACAATTACTTGTTATGCATCAGAGAGTTGGACAATGATCAAGGAGGATAGAAGGAGAATTGATGCTTTTGAGCTGTGGTGCTGGAGAAGAGTATTGAGAATACCATGGACTGCTAGGAAAACAAACAGATTTGTCCTGGAAAGGGTTAAACTGGGTGGCTCCTTGGAGGCAAGGATTCTGAGGCTCCATCTAACATACTTTGGACATGTTGTGAGGAGAGACCGGTCCTTGGAGAAGGACATCATGCTTGGGAGGGTAGAGGGACGGTGAGGAGGGGAAGACCCTCTATGAGGTGGATTGATTCAGTGACTGGGATAATCGGGATGGGAGTGTCAGAGACAGTGCGATTGGTACAGGACAGAGCAGAGTTTAGGGCTGTTGTACAAAGGGTCGCTATGAGTTGCAAGCGACTCGACGGCACATAACAACAACAACAACAACAATAATATAAGGAATTCATTAAAAGGGTCCTTACTTTTCCTCCCAAGTCTGATAAGTACAATAGGAATATAAAACATAACTGGAGTTTTCAAAAAGTGTGGGAAACAAAAGTGAAAACTAAAGAGACTGTTTTAATAATAACAATTTCAAAAACATACCTGTCTACATATCTTCTAGCTTCCACATTGTCTAACGCTGTAATAATGATATCCTGTTTTGTATAGAACTCATCACTGTAAATAGTCTCAGTAGCTGGACACACTTTATGCAAATGTGCATCTATCTTTAACTGAGGATTTATTTTCAGCGTTGCATCAGCAGCAGTATAGCTTTTAGGTTTCTAAACAAATAAAAACATTGTCTAAGAAACAGAAGCAATTAATGTTGAACAAAAAAGGCAGACTATAAATAAACTTATACAATTATCACTATGGAATATATAGAGTTGACAAAAGTAATGAGAACATTTTCATTTTTGGTTTTTGGAAATTAAACTCATTAAAGCCACACTATGTTAAAAATCAGTCTTTAAAATTAATACATTAATAGCCCTAAGTAGCCTGGATAATGAGTATATAAATAAATCTTAAAAATCTGTATTTTACAGCTAAGTGTTTTAAGATTTTTAAAATATTAAAGTCCAACTTAAAGTACATTTTTTCCAGATAATGACACTTGAATTGTTTTCTAGAGCCTACGAAAAAGTGAGAATACATAAAATAAAATATTAGAAATAAGATACTAGAAAACTTGTTAACAGGTACGCTAGTTTGCTACTTTGAATACTAATATCTTTCATTTTAACTGTTGTTTAATAATGCCGAGTTGATGAGCTGACCCTCCAGTAGGTTTGTTTTGTATTTTTCCTAGTAGGTTTTTTAAAGGAGTAAATTGCCTGGGAGACATCCATCCCTCTCCAATGGAGCAGCTGATGGGTGTGAAATGAGTTGCCACCGAGTTGCCAGCAAAACCAAGTTTCAGTGCACAAATCTGTAACTTTGTTAGAAATAAGTGAAAGAATAAACACAGCTTTACAGTTCTTCTATAAAGAAATTGTACAAAGTTACATAAACAGAATTTTGTGACATAGGTTTTAGCTCTTAAGAAACCCTGTTTTTTTTTATATTTGGATAGATGAGGCAATTAACATTTTATGCCACCTGCATTAGTTATTCCATGTTTAGTTATTAGTTCTCTAAGCTTTGTTTATAGGAAAACATTTTTAAAGCATTATCAAACTAGCCTGACTGTTTATCGGTCTTTTTATATATATATATACACACATACACATACACACACATATATGAAAGGTAGAAATATTTTATAAGAAAAAGCAACAGAAGTAGTCAAAAGATTAATATGTGTAACAATTCTAAACTTTTACCTTGTTTGGAAGCAAAGATTCAAAGATTACCAAAAATAGAGAGTCAAACCTGTGATCTATTTATTAAAACTTCAAATTAGGAAGTTCCCTCAATGATTTAGCTTCTAAAACTACATAAAAACACTTTGATGATTAAAAAGAGAAAATAAAAATACTATCTTTGATTTAAAATTCAGACTTTAATCTCCAAAGTCAATGAATTAAAAATTTTATTTCTCCCCTTTTCCATTATTATACTCAATTGACAATTACAGAATTCCTAACTAAAAAAACAGTAAGATCATTTGCACATTTTCTAAGAAAGAAATTCTTCTGCAAAATAAAATGAATGAATTAAATTTTAAACTGAACAGCAACATACCTGTATGTGATGAGGACGAAACAGGAATTGCCTATTTAAATTGGATTTTTCTATCAAGTCAGGGTCTGTTATTGTTATCTAGTATCAAGAAAGGAAAACAACTAAAATTACACAGCAGAAAAATTTTTGTTTTTCTTAGTAAGTCTAAAACACCACAAATTATTATTCTAAAATTTTCTTTGGCTGGTTAAGGGTGAAAAGTTTCTAAGGTGGTGACCAATTCTACTCTTTTCACAATTTTAATTAACTGTAATTAATATTTAGCACAGACATACAACAAACAAAATAACTGAAATTTCTTTTCAAAGCCCCACCCCCACCCCCAATAATTTGTACCATACTTCAGGGTAAATACCTAAGCATCACCTTTTAGGAGGATATAATAAAATTACTCATATGAATGCCAGCCCTTCTTTCTAATTTAAAATATTCTTAACCTCAACTTGCTTGGGAAGAATGCTTACATATTGCAATGTGAGAAAAACTCCTGTGAAACCAAAGATCTGTAAGATACTTGAACTAGCCTGTTGCCTTATTTGAACACTGTTATATCCAATTGTTTATACAATCTCACTGATTTCACATGCAAGCAAGATTTTACTGAAGATTATCCAAAAACGACTGGAACAGCACATCAACAGAGAACTACCAGAAGTCCAGGCTG